GGATGGGTTTATACATTAGAAATGAAATTTAGTATATTTACCACCAAGCACATCAACTGAAAAGAAATGTTTCTATCTTCGAGTTTGAATCTTGAGTATGTGATTGTGTTAAAAATTTCATTCACAATATTTTAAAACTTAAAATAATATTTTGATAATTAATAATAAATAATAATTTTGTTCACTTAAATTTATACTTTTTACCTAACATATTATTATAATTAGTTTCTAAATATTGGTTGTAAAACATCCCTTAGTTTTAGTTTTATACGATAAAATATTTTATAACTTATTTTTAAATAATATCTTAAATTTATATATTTTGTCAAAATATTAAATTAACCCCATTCTAATCTAAAAATTAGTTGGGATATGAATGAGCGGATTAGGGTAAATAAAATTTATCCTATCAAAACAATATTAGATAAAGTTAAATTTATCCTAACTCATAACAGGAACATCCTTATGATTTAGCCAGAACAAGTACTAGCTCATTAATTTATTAACTTATATCTATTTCAATGCATATGATATTAGGGTAGATTTTTAAAAGTACATTAAATTTCATAAGTTTAAATAATATATAATATATTTTTTTTTAATTTTAGCGAGATAAGTATTTCTGGTTTTTTTTTATTTTTTATTTTTTAATTTTAGCGAGATAAATACATCTAATTTTCTAAAAATACAAAAAAATAAATTAATACCCGTGAAGTAGTTATAGATATATATGTTAATGCTTATATCATCCAACAGTAAGCTAATTAATCTGAATGGATCCTACCCTTATTCTGGTCATAAACCAGTACGTTATTGTAGTTGCTGTTTAAATGTGGAAGGCTAGCTTTTGAAGATTTCAACTCCCACCCCACTGAACAAGTTCATAAATATTTAGGATAACGGCTCGTGCACGAATCTTACCATTCAAGTGGGAATAAAAGATGAGAAGCTGACATTTCCTTTTGCTAAGTTCTGTGTATATGTGCATGCTTGTTGTAGTTTTTTTTTTTAAATAATGATGAATCAGATATATGAATTTATAATCTTTTACATATATAATCTAAATCTCTCCCCGCTAACTAGCCCCCCTCGTGTTGTTATATGTAATGGAATATGATTTTCTATTTGTTCCTTTGAAATTGAAACTCGAAGGTAAAAGTGAAATGATCCATTCTATTAAAAGAACGATTCAGTCATTACAATGCATCTATCCTGATTACTGCGCTTGAAATCATAATAATGCATGTGAAGGTTAAAAATACAAGCATATAGCAGATAGCACCACCTAAACTTTTAATGTTAAAAAAAAAAATACAAACATAGCAACATATGATCACCTATATTGTATTTTATTAATCTAAACATGGGCTGCTTAATGGCACTCATCATTGGTTTGATTGAAAAGACTCGCTTTACTTACATAAAATAATAATAATAATAATAACTACAACCAAAATGGTGTTGAATTAACCCGGTCAATTATTTCATCCTACAAAATATATTTCCGTGCAATCAAATTATTATCATTATCATTACGGCATCATAAAATTAAATGTCTAATGAAATAAAACTTCATACTTTCCTTTGGGTTAGAATTGGAGTGTTTGGCAAATGAAAAATTATTTTTTACTTGGAAATCACGATTCCCGGAAATATAGTTGAAAAATGAGTTTTTCGAAAATATTACCAAAAAATTATTTAATAAGTCAAAATATTCACAGAAATATTAAGTTAATTTTTTTGATGGTATGTTTGATTGACTGTAAAATATTGCTGAAAATGTGGATTGAGATTAATTATGTTCCAAAAAAATTATTAAATATTTTCATCACATGAAATTCTCAAAATATCATCCATTTGGTAGTATCATAACTTATAAGATAGAGTTTTCCTTCAGACATGAATCCCGAGAATCTGACTTTTTTGGGAAAAGTTTTATAATCCTGGTACCAAACGTGAATAAATCAAATCCTCAATCTCACTTTCTCGTAATTTTAAATTTTTTCCTTCTGACAAACACTCTTTATAGTTTTCTATGTATCATTGCGCTCCCAATTAAATGGAAGACCAATTACTTTAGACCGAGCAATACAGTTAAACTTTCTCCACAAACGACTTTCCCTTGTGGTTGGGTTTTAAAATAAATAAATAAAGAAAATCTCCTTTTAAAGGACTTATAATTATGTCATTTTAAGAAAAGAAAAAAAACACAATCTAATATTTTTTTTATTTAAAATTAAATTTTTTTAAAAAATGCTCACTTTCTCTCTTATAATTTTTTATTACTTGTGTCTTTTTCTCGTTTAAAATGACATAACTCCATATCTTTTAAAAGAACAAACACTAAACCCATAAATAAATACATATTACAATCACTTTTATTTCTATCTCATAATTGTACTCGAAAGAATCCCTTTTCAAGTGAAACTTTAAGGGAAAAAACCATTCCATGTTAAACCTGACTAGCTGAATATGAAGTGGAGATAATCCTTATATGCAGCCTTACTCTTATATAATTGCAAAAAAGTTATTTCCTGAATTCGAATCCATAATCTTTTAGTCATAAAAAAACAGTTTTGTCACTGCTGGAGTTTGTTCTCTTTGATCAGTTTACTTTAAGAAAGAAGAAAAAGAATCCACTTGAAGTTATCGTTTAACTAGTGAAGTCACCCTCATAGGACAAGCGTTTCAATAACTCCACTTAGAAAAAGGTCGGAAATATGAATCAGCAGATTCTTCATTCATTGATCACGCTACTTCCCGTGATTTTTATTTTTTTTTATCAGACTAGCAAATTGCTATGTTATGTAATATACAAACACACCCACACGCACACATAAAAGAAACTAAAATCTGCACAGATTACATGTAGCCAATTCTTAGCATGGTATAGATTCTGATCAGTAACTTAAGTGCAGATAATGTATCAAAAATTTGACTTTAACAACATCAGAATCAGATAATATGATTGACCAATGGGTTACAAAAAGAGTTAAAAACTGGGGAAAACAACTTCATATGGACCATGATACGCCACTGAGTAAGAGAGGATACAGTACAGTATACACTGGGAAGTCTATGGTCAAGGACACTGAAGCAGTGTTATGTGAGGCCACATTAATGGCTTTTATTGGTTATTTATATGGTATTTGAGTCTCTATAACCATAAGATCACCATTCTCATTTTCTAATAAATTTAAAAAAGAAGTTAAAATCAACACAAGAAAAACAATAAAAACAAAATAAATCTATGCATTATTCACACTTCTAACCTAAAAGGTGTCTTGCACAAGCGGAAGTGTTGGAAATATAAATAGTATAAAGTCATTAATGTGACCTCAATTAATAGCATAAATTTTTGAGTTGAAATAATTCTTTGCAAGCATATCATGCAGGAGGAATTATGTAATACTTGCAGAATGACAAAATGTTAGTGGGGGAAGTATGCAATGGGGGAATGTCAGAGAAGAGAATAACTGTGGTCTGATCTTAAGGATTGTATCCCTTACAGCATAAACATTATCAACGAAATCAGAGAAACAATTGCCTTGACTGATTGCTTAGTAAAAACGTTGGAGAACTATTAGTCAATAGATTGACAGTTCTTCCCTTAATACTCCAACTAATGCCTATTATAACGGCTCATACAAACAAAAAATTCCAAGTTCCCCGAGACCTATAGATTTATGGGTTTTACTAGTTCATATATATGTAATCCTTTATTCAAAATATTGGCCAAATGTTATCTAGAGTCTGTCCGATAATCAAACCGTTTATTTCCACTCCACATTTTTGTGCTGGTTTATTTTCTCAATCCATCATAGTTTCAGTATAAATTTGTATGCATAAATTGATATCAGTCATCTTTTGATAAAGAGTAACCTTTGAGTTTCTTTCAGTCCTATGTTTCGCAAGAGAGAGGAAGTCTTCTGGGGCTGGTCGATCCAGATTTGGGTTCAGAATATTCAACTGAGGAGGCCATGGTAATTCTAAATGTGGCTCTCTTATGTTCTAATGCATCTCCTACAATCAGGCCAACAATGTCCCAAGTTGTGAGCATGCTTGAAGGTTGGAATGACATCAGGATCTACTTTCTGATCTGAGATATTCAGCTGTTAGTTTCAATTCCAAATATAACAGTATAAGAAATTACTTCTGGCCAAATTCCTTGCTCGGGCTGTAATTTGTGTTTCTCTCTCGACTAACAGTTTCCAATGCAACCACCCCGAAGCTATAACCATTTGCTTTGTCAGTTAAATAGCCACGTATTGCATACTCAGAAGCCATATAACCACTGCAGAATGAAAACAAGAATATATATGGAAATTATGATCATTGCAATAATATTGAAGTAGGTTATGACATACTAGGTCAAATAGAAGCATTAAGATTAAATATATGTTAGATATAAAGTATTCAATGGCCTCCACCTACAGCATAAAGTTTGAGGAAAATTGATCCTTGAATGAGAAACTTGGTCCATGCAGCTTCTGGGCTTCTAATTTAATTGTAATTTCATCCTAATTTTGAGTAGACGAGTTTTCTTCGCACTTCAAAGCCCAAAAAGTTTTTGTATGGAGGGAATACTAGAGATATAGGCGTTCACCTTACAGATTATTGTTTTAGGATGACTTATCTTTGACAATATAGACTTTATTCTTTCATTTTTCAATTTCATGACAAACAGGTAGTCAAGCTTTAGTTCAAACTTCAAATTATTACAAAGATTGCAATACCATGTTTTGACGAGAGAAACAAGAGAAATAGTAGCAAAATATGATGAACTCACATTGTTCCTGCAACTCAAGTGCTAACATGGGTTTTGTCATCTTCAATAAGTTTTTGTCATGCCAAAATCTGAAACTTTAGCATTAAAATCCTTGTTGATCAACACATTACTTGTCATTATATCCTTATGAATGATTTTTATTCTGGACTCTTTATGGAGATAAGCCACAGCTCAAACTATACCAAGGCAAATTTTCTTCCTGGTTGGCCAGTCAGTTTCATTCTGTCTGGATCCTTCCCTGTATGTGATAGGGAGAAGGACAATCAATTAGTTGGCTATATATTTGGTTCAAATGGAAAGTATGCTTAAGTTTATTAATTATGAAGCTTACCAAAAAGAATGCGAGATAGACGATTTATTTCCATATATATTAGCTGGCTCCGCTCCACAAAACATCCATAAAGCTTAACAAGATTGGGATGTTGAAGCCCATATATCATTCACAAACTCATGGTTTCCTTGCTTAGATTTTGAAGAGAGCTGCTTTACAGCCATAACTAGAAAGGATGAAACAGTAAAGTTCTTAGAATTTGTCATCTGGCACAAATCCCCTTTGCAGCATTTCATCATGGAAACGGAATGCCTCTTTCAGGTTGTCTTGAGAGACATGCCCATTTATCAATGATGTGTATGTGGATCTATCAGGATTGATGCCTTTGTCAATCATCTTACGTAATACCATCTCAGCCTCTTGCATTCTACCTTGCCTACAATATCCACTAAGAATTGCATTGTATGTGAAAACATCGGGCAGTAGCCCATGTTCTTCCATGTTATTTATCAAGACAAAAGCTCTGTCCAAGTTCTCTTCCTTAACAAAACCATTTATAAGAGTATTATATGTAATGCAATCAGGAGAAACTCCTTCTAAAATCATCTTGTTCAAGAAGTTATTTGCCTTTAACAATTTGCCAGCCCGCAAATATCCCTTTATAATGGTGTTGCAAGTAACCAGGGTGGGCTTAATTCCTTTCTCTACCATTTCATCCCACAACCTGAATGCTTCAGACACAAGACCTAAACTGCAAAATCCATTTATTAAAATGCTAAATGATATGTAGTTGGGCAATATTTCCCTGCTTATCATATCACACCACAACTCCTTAGCTTTCTCCATTTCACCAATTTTGCAGAAGCCATCAATCAATGTATTATATGTCACAACATCAGGCTTGAGGCTCCTTTGAGTCATAGTCTCGAACAAACTAAGTGCTTTAGTCATGTTTCCATCCTTACAATAACCATGAATGAGAGTGGTGAGAGTGTAGAAATCAGGAAAAACTCCCCTTTCCACCATCTCCTTAAATAGCTGATCAGCATCAACGAGCAATTTTCCCCTGCACAATCCATTCAATAGAGTATTGTATGTAACCACATCCATAACACAACCCTGCTCTACCATTTCATTCCGCATGTTCAAAGCCCCAGACATGTTGCCATTCCTGCAATACCCATTTATAAGAATAGTATAAATGACAGTATCAGGAACCAACCCAGCACCTTTCATATTCTTAAAATACTCCAAGGCCCGGTCAAGGTACCCATTCCTGGAGAAGACACCTATGATTGAGCTAAAGCTAATTAAATCGGGAACAACTCCTCGGCGCAACATTTCATTAAAAATCCTTTCCGCCTCACAAATATCATCCTTTCTACAACTCTCCACCAACAGCGGGTTAAAAGTAGCAGCATCAGGACTCAATCCAATCCCCAACATCTCATCCAAAACACCCTTTGCTCTCTCATAGCTCCCCTTCTTGCACAAACCATTGATCATAGCATTATAAGTAAAAAGGCCAGGTTTCAACCCCTGACCCATCATTGAGTTCATCAATTCAAAGGCTTCTAACACAAGCCCCAATCGACAATGCGCATTAATCAGAGTATTATATGTCACAGTATCAGGAAAAATCCCCTTATCCTCCAAGCTAGACAAGAAACCCTTAACCTGATCCATTCTTCCATCTTTACACAAAGCATTAACCATGATATTCAGAGTATACACATTCACCAATGTCCCACTATTCACAACATTATCATACACACTCCATGCCAAATCCACCCACCCAACCTTCACAAGTGAACCAAGGAGAGCGTTACAAGCATTTATGGAAACACAAAAACCTTTGCTCCTCAACAAGAAAAACGCCTCAGACCCTTCTCTCAATTTCCTAGCCTGAACGTAAGTCCTTATCAACAAATCGAAAACACTCACATTGGAGGCACAATCGCCGTGCGTGGCGGAAGAAGAAACCAAAGAATCGACCACTTCAACACGCGAAGCGCCACTCTTTCTGATCATTCTGAGGAGCAGAGCCTGAGCTTCTGGAAGGTTCCTGGCGCGAACAAGAACGTGAACCATCGCGGGAAATGAGTGGTTGAGATTGGGACAATTTGAGGAAGCCACCGCGCGAACGAAGTTGTGACCCAAAACGGGGTCGTATTGACGACATCGATGAAGGACTTGAAGGACGAGCGATGAAGGGTCGTTGGAACGAAGAAGGAGGTTGCGCAATGAAGCGAGACTGCCTTGCTTCAAGGTCAAGAGAACCTTATCAACCAAAAACGCGTCTTCCACATGGGAAGAAGGTTCTTCGTAGGGGTGAGGAAGAGAGGAAAAGGAAGAGGAAGGGATGTGTGGAAGAGAAAGACGTAGCTGGGGAGAAAGGGTGAGAGATTGTATGCGAGCTGGGACAGTTCTGATAGGTAGTAGGTGTTGTATCAGTGACGCCATTGAAGGGTGAAGATGGAGATGATGAAAATTGAAAAACAAAACAACAGAATGTGTTTTATTTGGATTGGGTTTAACGTTACACCCGACCCGACCCGACCCTGATTTAATGAATAATGAATAATGATATTAGGTTGATTTTATTTGTAACACTGATCAAAATATCACTGTTCATCAAGTTTTTTACTTAAATACTATGCAACAGTGTTATTTTCCAATCTATCACGGGACAAGTTCGCTACCCGGTGTAGCGAACTCGATTTGCTGACGTGTCACGTTTTTAGTGGACACCAAGTTCGCTACTCAATGTAGCGACCTTCGTACTTTTTTTTTAACTTTATACTTGTCATTCACTAGAAATGTGACCGAGTTCGCTACACCGGATAACGAACTTGCCCTCATGATAGATTGAGAAATAACACTGTGCGCGTGACATTTAGGTGAAAAACTGGATGAACAGTGACATTTTGTTCGGTATTCCATTTTCTTTATGTTGTGAGAAGTAATTAATTTTGGGTCTCTTCATGTGATGAGAATAAAAAGAAAAAAAATGGACTATATCCACTCTCATGTGTTTGAAGAAAAAACATTAAATCTTTTGTTTATTGGTTCAATATTTTCTCGAAGTAAAAAATAATTTTATCTACAGTGAACATAAAAGTTAGTAGAGCCTTGATAAGGAGAAGTCAAAAAAGACAAAAATAGGCCATCATGTCTGCATTTTGTTTATAAGTTTAACGTTTCTCCGCATATAACAAAATGGGTTTTTTTTTTTGTAACCTATACAAAATAGGATTTATCTACTTATATATGTGTACAATATATAACTTTAACTAATGTTTGGAGAAATATTAAACCATTCGTGCGAACATTATTCATCAATTATGAAACATTTTCCTTTTTATTTATTTATAAATTTAATGTTTTTATGCATATACAACATACGCTTTATCTACTCGTATATGTGTACAAGATATAACTTTAACTAATGTTTGGAGAAATATTAAACCATTTGTGCAAACATTATTTATCAATTATGAAACATTTTTCCTAGGCAAAAAAATTAATTTATTGCAATTTAAATAAAAAAATTATGAATTTGTTGTTGTTTTGAAATTATTTACGCATTTATTGCACATTGTCACGTCCCATGTAGGCGTCACCTCTACGTGGGTCACGTCTAACTGGGGCGTGACCTGTGATACCCAATTTGGGCGTGACACATGCGCAAATGATGCCCACTTGGGGCGTGAATGGTGGAAAAATATCTATTCAAACCCTTATCACTCTTCACAACTCTTCTCTACCATCGATTCTTACTTTTACATACAAAATTATTAGCTTATTCATAGTCTTTTTATTTTTTTTGTTACTCCATTTTAAAATGAGTTTATATTCTAATTCTGTTCGTATTGTGTTATATTACAATGGTAGGAAGGTGGAAGGACGACGAGGCGTAATTTTTGAAGGTGAAAAAAGGCCAACATGTACCAAACGCAACTCAACAATTGATAATTGTATCAGAGAATTCGTCAAAAGTTAACTCTTCAAGCTAACTAATCTATCACTCAGATCACCACAAGGATATGGCAATCTGAACAATACATTAGTTTGCAAGTGGTGGATGATGAAGACGTCGAGATGATAATGGAATAATTTTTCAACCAGTCAAGGAAAGATTTTTTGGAGTTGTATGAGGACATTGCCGGAGCAGAGGATGTTGTTTTACTGGTGAGAACAGTTGCTTTAAATTCTCCACGTCATGCATCAACATGTGCTGCTCATGCTTCTCCAATTGTTAACATTTATGAGGGAGATAAAAATGATCCTACTTGGGTTATGCATGACGACTACGACGATGACGATAATGAAAATATCGCAATGAAATAACGTCTTCTGGCCGAGGATGCTAGTGCTTCAGAAGGAGATGACGATGGTGATAAACCCGCGTCTCAAATCTCAGTATACCATGATCCGGTGGAGTCTCAAATCTCGCAACTTAATGACATGAGCTCCCCACAATTAATCGAACATCATGAGTAATTATTTTCAAAATAGCAATAAATTCGTAAATTTTTATTAAAAATGCAATAAATTAATTTTTTGCCATTTTCCCTACATTTTGTTTATAAGTTTAACATTTCTCCGCATATACAAAATAGGCTTTATCTACTCATATATGGGTGCAAGATATAACTTTAACTAATGTTTGGATAAATATTAAAGCATTTGTGCGAACATTATTCATCAATTATGAAATTATTTTCTCAATCATTATTGCAAGTTCGAGCCAAATGTTAAAAATATACTATTTTAATAAGGGTTTTAATGTTTCTGATTAGAGTGTGTGAGATTCATATTCTTTCTTTCTTTCTTTTTCTCACATTAGCTGTGCATCCCATACACTTTCATGAATGTATAGAAGATAAATTTATTTTCTACAACAAGAGAAATAATAAACCTTTTTAATAAATGGTTTAAAACAGTGTTTTAAAATCTCACTCCGCCCCCGGGTTGACCCGGGTCAACCCCGACCCCTCCCCTCTGAGAGTTGGGATCACAAGTTAGACCTTATATGCATATAGACCCCTCTGACCCCCAAAATCTGGCCGGATTTCAGTGACTCTCGGGTCAGAGGGGTCAAAGGAGGTCACTGCATGATTTTTTTTTAAAATTCCATGAAATAACATCGTTTTATTAAAAAAAATAAAAATAAAAATGCTTGCAAACCTAAATCTAATCGTTCTCTTCTCTCCCAGTGACCTAGGCGTCTTCAATCTTCACCTCGCTGCCATGAATCTTTTAGAGAATGTAAGAATTTTACCCATTCAAATGAAATCCTTACGGTCGTCGATGGAAAACAAAAACTCATTCTTACTTCCTTTAAATTTTTCTGTCAGGGACCTTCACAAAAGTGGCAGAACCGGGTCAGCGTAGTGACCCATTAGAATATGAGTTTTGTACTTTGGTAGCTTGATACATTAATTAGGTTGTGTAATATTGGCTTGTGGTTGTAATTGGTGAATTATGTTAAGTATATTTTGAATCTTTGATAATTGGTGATTTGTTTTTTAATGTTTTCATATAGGATATATATATTTATATTTTTTTAATATATAAACCGGGTCAGCGTAATGATCTCATAATCCTCCGGTTGAACCCATGACTCCGTGACCCCTAACCTCGGCCGGATTGATGGCCCGGCCGGATTTTTAAACACTGATTTAAAGTTTCTCATAATAAATAAAATTATCTTCTACATACATAAATATATACTTTCTATGTGGTCCATAAGAAGAAAATTGAATGCATTAAATTTGTCATATAGAAAAGGAAATAAATTTTTTGGAACAAACATTAAAAAATAACGTGTAACAGAAAGAAATGAAATAAATAAATGGTTCTATCAAAGACGGATTAATTTCATGCTAATTAAAAACTCGTTTTATTAAAAAAAACTCGTTTTGATAGCTGATTTTTTTATATTTAAAATATATTTTTCATTATTATACATTATATTCATTTTAATTTAATTTTTTATTAAAAAAATTTCAGTTCAATTTCCATATCTAAAATCATTTTTAATTTGATCTTTAACATATCTTACTGTCATAATACTTTATAAGATTATACCACAGTGAACTATAAAAGTAAAATTGAAATTAAATGTCACGCATGATAATTAAAATACGGAAATCATGTTCACCAGCGAAAGGGAAGCAAATTTTTTTTCTTAAAAAGAATTCGTCTTCCGTGGTAACTAATTTTTTTTAAAGTGTGGTCCCACGTTTAATTTATCTCTTTTTTTTTTCTCACGCTGTCCCGCAGTATAAAAAATATGAACCCATTAAAATATGAATATGATTTTAATATTTTTAGAATGAATGTAAATAAGTTATCTACATTTACTTTTAAAATAATATCGTTTTTGGTTGAAAGATTAAAAAATTATAATAAAGAATATCATTATAACCCTAAAATAAATTATAATTACAAAAACACATTGATTTTCGCTCCAAAATGACATCATTTTGAGTTCAATATGAATAATTTATTTATATTGACCGTAGAAAAATGAATCCGTAGGGCTCGTTTGGTGGACAGGATAGGATAAAGGTAGGATATGATATGAGGCTGATAAGGATAGGATATGATATGAGGCCGATAAGCCTATATCATGTACTGTGTTTGATGAGCAACTGATTAGCAATCTGATAAGATTATGTAGAAAGAGAAAGAAAAAATAAATATAAAAATATTGGGTAGCGTGGGGATATATTGGGTATCTAATATTAGTATCTTATCCTGTTGAATCCTAACCCGCTCCCCCCATAAGATAAGAAATCATGTATTAGATAGGATAAAATGAGACAATAAGATAAGCTAATCATATCCTATTGACCCATCAAATAAGAGATAAAAGTAGGATATGATAAATTATCATATCTTATCTTCTTTATCAGGTACTCCAAACATGTCTTTAAAATATTACTATTTTTTGTTTTCTTCTGAGTTTGATGTTTATTCTTTTAAAATATATTGTGTCATACTGCCATTTTAAATAAGAGAAAGACTAGGCAATAAAAATTATGAAAAAAGAAAGTAAATATTGTTTTAATTAAAATTTTAAATAAAAATTATTAATTTTTGACTTTCTTCCAATTAAAATAATACAAAAAGAATATTTTTCCCTTTCTTATAAGGGCCTGTTTGGTGTGATGTATAAGGCCTGATAGTATAAGCTTATGCTATACGTTATGACATTTTCAGTTGTTTGATGTGACCATCGTATAGTATAAGCTTATACAGCAGGACCTCTTTATACATCAAAATGATGTATAACTTAATCCGGCCTAGGAGTGGTGGATTAGGCCTGATAAGGGGTTGATGTATTAATATTGCTTACAAGTACAATTCCCAATAACTAATATATCATTTCAACATTTATATATTAAAATAATATTTTTTAATATATTAATTTATAAAATATTGGAGGATATTATCTTATACAATATCATACCAAACGCTGGATAATATTAAAATTTAATCAGGTCTTATACAATCAGGTCTTATACTATCAGGCCTTATCTTATACTATGCACCAAACATGCCCTAAGTGCCAGTTATTTTTAAGGCAAGCAAATCTTTCATAACAACGTGCTCATCTTTGGTACTGGTACAGCAATAGTATGTACTACTGTTATTGAAAATTAAATATATATATTTTTTTCATTTCATCACTCAGCATGGGTGTTTAATTTGTATTGGAAGCATATATTTTTTTTTCATGTCATCAATCAGTATAGGTGTTTAATTTATATTGAAAAGATGGATGGAAAAGTGAATAACACAGTAATATTCTAGAAATTTCCCTTGACAACAGAACCATAACAGATAGCGAGTACAACGTTAAAGACATTTACGCAAAAAATAATTTTTAAGATTTATTGACAAATGAAAAGGTTGATTGGAAATTTGGAACAACCAAAATAAAAACACAAGAATTGGTTTGTTTGTTTTTTTTGTTTCCTCGTCCCTTTGTCTTTCCACCTTCACCAGAAGCTCCTTTATCTGTTCCTAAGCGGAGTTAGGGGGTCAAATTCTAAATGCAATAATTTGTTAATGTTAATGTTGCATTCTCTTTTGGTTTTGGCATAAACGGGTCTCGCTTTTCTGATAAGCCACTGAAAATTTTTCACACCTTTGACCCTAAAACTTGATTAGAAGATTGGTATTCACTAGAATTCCTCAAATCCATGGAAGGTACTGTTTATTCTCTTCACCAACTTTGACCTTATCAGAGATTTGGGTCTTTTATTTGGTGATTGATTTTTTGTCAGAATACATCAATTTTTTGTGTGTTTAAATTGAATGAATGGCTTGATTGGAACCTAGAATATTGTGGAGGTGGTTTTAAGGTGGGTATGACGCCAAGGGCTTCAATTTGGGGTCTTTGGGTTTTGGGAAAATGAGTCAAACTGAAGGGTATAAATGGGGTTTGATTAATTTTGATCATAATTGAAATTAGTATTTGATGTGTCTTGATGTATTTTTCTCTTCCGCATTTTTCTTATAAACACCTAATTTGAAACGGTTTTTGTGTGCTCTGTTGATGACCATAAATCAGTGTCTACGCTTAGATCTACATACTGTGTGGGATAAGGCTTGGTTTTTATTGTTATTCTTCTTCATCCATTTGCACTGGCTGTTGATTAGCTCAAACCATGGGTTGTTTGTGAAAGACTCTATGAGATTAGAAAACTTTTATTTTATTTTAATTTTATTTTTGCTTAGTTGATATTAGAAAACTTTAAAGAAATAGGGAACATGTTAACTGATCAGTTGCAAGAAATAAGCTTGCTGTAATTGGGTTTTTATGTACCAAAATCGTAGTTCAGACTTTTATGCATATGTGAAATGGCATCAATGGTAGTATACAGTGGATGTGAATTCCAACTTTCCTCATTATCAATGTCTCCATATATGGCGATTGGCGACCATTTGGCTGGCCTCTGCCCTGATTTTATAACTGCCCAATTGCTCACTCTTGGGATTGCAGCTCCCCTCTGCCTTGACATGTTAACCAAAATCATACAAGTTTAAGCTACACATGTGAATAACTTTTGAGCTCTTTCAATAATCTGGTCTATGGAATAGATACTGTTTACTTTTTGGCTGAACGTTTTTACATATAACTATGTTACTATGCTGATTGTTGACATATGATAAACTCGGTTACATGGGATTGGATGCCAATTAAAAATGCACTCACAAATGACAAATCAGTGATTTGATGGAAGTAGCCACTGTATTGTTGCATTTACTGAGAGCTCAGTTTGGACTTGGAAGCTACGGATCGTGTTATTAACTTATTAATGATCTTACGAAACAACCTCCCAACCTGTGAAATTGGTACTGAGGGATGGGATCTATATTATTGCAGCAGCTCTCAAATTATGCATGCTCCTTTTAAACCTTTTTTTATTGCAAAATCATTTTCTTATAAATATTTGGTCAAAACAAATAGCTTTTTGATTAAATATTTAAAAAAAAGAAGCTTTCTGGATCATATGAACATTTCCCGTGAGGTACTTGACTTCAATTACTCATGCATCCATCCTTTTTCATATTGTCATCACTGTTCATCATATAGTCATATTGTGACTTCATATCATTTGTGGATCAATTTGAGTGATTGTATGGCATAAGATGTTTCGTATTTATTGTTTCTTCTTGCATACTGTAATTATTCTTTCCATTCTAACGCACATACTAAACTTCCTGCTTTTCTGTTGGTCTTTAGAATCAAGTGAATTGCAATCAGAAGAAAATAAAGTCTCTATGGAGAAAAATAAGAAAAGAAAGCTCAAAACACCTGCCCAGGTTACGGCCTTGGAGAAATTTTATAATGGTAGGGGTACTTTTTTTGTCACATGGGTGTTAATACATCTTGCGAAGTGCTAATTTTTTGAATAAGAATTATTTTTTACCTTTGTTTCTAGAGCACAAGTATCCCACAGAGGAAATGAAATCACAAGTTGCTGAGGAGATAGGGTTGACAGAAAAGCAGATATCTGGATGGTTTTGCCACAGAAGGTTAAAAGATAAAAAATTATTGAAAGGTGAAGCATTTGCTAATGGACGACAAGATCATTCAAGTGGTGTCATCCAGGATCGTGGCAGTGGACTTGGGCAAGATTCATGTGGAAGCAGTAAACATGGTGACTATAGGCATCTAGATCCAAAAGAGGTTGAGAGTCATGGCCTCTACAATCATGATTTTTCAGTAGCCGATATGACCTATGGACATAGGAACCATTATACAGAAAATGTCAGTGGAATGGATGATACATCATCTGAGAGCAGCTCTTTTTTGCGAGATCCACTTCGACATGATGTGGAGCCTTCTAGATATCTAACACCTAATGGAGTTCTTTCACCTGTAAACTCCAAGGGTGCAATTAACATGGGATATAAACCATCAGGATATTTGAAAGTGAAGGGCGAGATAGAACATGCTGCTATAACTGCTGTTAAGAAGCAATTAGGAAGGCATTATCAGGAAGATGGTCCGCTACTTGCTGTAGAATTTGATCCACTTCCTCCAGGGGCATTTGAATGCCAAACTGCGGATCCAGTTCATGGTAGGTTGTACCATATTCTGCTTTTTAATTTTTTCTTTTCAAGTCTCATTTACATAGTTTTGTAAGACCAAAATGTTGTTTCGTGTTGTAACAACCTTTTTGGGTTAAGGATAGAACACCAAGTTTTATTTGGAATTATTTTTCTGTCATAGGGAAGTGAATGCTTAAGGATAGAACTGGATGTGGTAGGGGTGACATGTCTCTAGAACAGCAAATAACTGTTTTCCAACTAAACTGCATCATGTTTGCATTGATATGCTTTTGAGGAATTTAAACAGATGCCTTAATATTAATACCAACAGGGTCAGTGACATAATCTGACGAGGATAGTTTTATGGTCTCAATCATTAAGAATACTTGTCAGAAGATTGTTGTTCTTATATGATCAAGTATGTCATTGCTGGTAACCCAGTGTTTATATGATTTGAGGCTTTGAATATGAATTTTTTTTATTTTTTATTTTTTAAACTTGAATATGAATTTTTAGCATCAGCACTAAGTTATTTTAATAAATTAACTTTTCAAAACTGTTAAGGTTTAGTTATTTCCTTTGTGTAGCTCAGGTCTCTTTTGGTGCGTTAGTATTTGCTTGATTTGGAAATGCCCAGAAGAAACATGCACACACACACACTCGCAGTAGATCATGCTCATATTGAAGGAATTGTGGCTTTAGCTCAAAATAGTTTATTTTGCTCTTTTTGCATGTTTTACTAGAAATGTTTCATCTTAGCTGACGTGTGAGGGTTTTATTTTCTCTTTCACTAACTCCACACCTTATTTCTAAATGCACTGAGTCATTTTATGAATAGATTGAGATTCTTACCTTTATAATCTAATGAATGCTATAGCAGAACCATACTGTGTTGCAAATCTTGTTCATCCGAATTCTCCAGAAATCTCTGCTGTAAAAAGGAAACCCAGTCTTAGCTCTGTAAGTGGACCTTTCTAATGCATTCTTCTTGTATTTTGATGAGCCTAGTAATTGAACACAGTCTGTTTAAATTATATGATGCATGCTTTAAAGATTGGACGACCACCCGATTATTTATGTTACAAGCTTACGATGAGAAGAGATGATTTAATTAAAACAAGCCCTAAAAATGTACCCAATAAAGAAAAAACCAACTCTGACATGTTGATTCTCAACACTTGTATGACTTGCTTCTACCATTTTTTGCTGAAACTATAGCTTTCACTTGTTTTGCTACACTTAACTGACCTTCAATAGCACTATAAGTACCAAATTTAAGATCCTGTCTCACTTTACCAGAATGCCCGTTTTGTTTTGTTTAATTTTTTCTCTCTCTGTCTCTCTAGTTTTGGATTTCTTTAAAGGGGCTGGGAAAGGGGGTCTGATCATCTCGCAATTCATATTGGTTTCAGAATTATTATATACGGGAATGGGAAGTTTAATGTTTCCCAAATCTGGTACAATGGATTGGTTTGGGAATTGGTGGTAATGGGAATTAAATGGAATGGAGTGATCATCCCCACTACCACAGTTGGTGTTTGTTATGTTAGAATTTGAGAGAAATGGAATGAAGGGAATAGCCTAATGACAATAATAACCTTGGATTTAAAAATCAAAATAATAAAATTTAATTTAATTTCTAAAAAATAATAATTTTACCCAACCTATGAGTTGAATATATATGTCATTCATGTATATAATTTTTGGACTTTTTCGAATTTTGATTACTTATTGTAAGATAAATTTTGTCGATGACACATTATAATAGCAAAGGATTCATATCTTTCTTAGAGGGAATGAATGAATCAAGTTGAAATTATTGAATCAAGCTGAATGAGCATTTCCTTGGAATGGGATTTCCATCCTAAAGGCTAAAAATAAAGAAATGGTGATTCCAGATGAATGACGTTTAAAATGTGGCTAAAATGGAACGGTTACTTTAGTAAACTAAATGTAGCCTTTTACTTCTTTCCTGTGCTCAAGGGGAAAGAAAAAGTTAACAAAATTATCCGGGGCTACTATTCCATTGTTTCAAGTCATTTTTACTGTGAAGAAAATTTTTAAATGGATTAGAAGTTGTGTATAAGTACAGATGATTTCATATTTGAGCCTGCTCAATCCTCCTTGAAATCTTTTCACTGCTGTTAAAAACTCTTCAATTTATCCTGTTTATAAACACCTCAAAAGTGATATCGTGATACCAATATCCCTGCTCTCTCATCGTCTTTCACTTGTGTATTTTCAGAGAGATGATTCACATTATACTAAATTTAGTTCCCGAGATTCACATATGGAAGGAGTTGACTTCGGCTCGTTGCATGACACTGATTTCCAGCGTAAACAGGATAAGAAAGGCCGCCAGAATATTAAACAAAGGCAAAGTCTTTACAGTTATACCGATCATTTTCCTGGCAGGAACTCTTCCCTGGATTTGTATGAAGACTCTACCGGAGAAGCATCTGCTCATAATGGCACTAAGAATCATAGAATGGGCACTAAGCATGGTGTTGAGGGGATGAGATCTGATTCTGCTTCTAACCACAGTGATCACTATGAAGAGAACCTTGCAGTTAAGCAGACAGAGTTGCTGCTACATGGCTATGATAACATCAATCCAAGAAATGTGCAAAGGAGTGAACATGTAAAATCTAAGCCTTTAAATTCAAACCGTAATTCTCGAGTTTCTGTGGATACTGCAGAAAGAGGACTATCTACTAGGATGTCAAAGGTTCATTAATATATTTGCACTTTCTCTTATATGTAATGATCAATTTTTTCTGCTTACGTATGGTTTAAATTGCATATGATTTTTTGTATATGTGCAGGAACAGATGTTTAAGGGGGACAGGAAGGCAAAAAAGCAACATCGCAACGCAGATGGATCAGGGATGCTTTCAAATGAAATCACAGTGAGTTTTAGCTGTGCAAGCATACCTCTTCCTCTGAAATGTGATTATTTGATTTTCTATTGAGCGCACTGCACTTCTTCCATGCATGTCTGTATGATGTTTTGCTTTGCTATGTGTATAGGTCACAAAACGAGTTAAAGTTGATGATATGCCTCAGCCGTACAATGTGAAACAATCACCTGTTGCTGAGATGGAACAAAGGAAAAATCAGAGGTGGGCATTTATATCTGTTTGCTTTTGTCTTTCTCATGACCGCATGCTTACCCAGGTCCTCTTAGAAAATTTTGAGTATTCTTGTTTTTCTGGGTGTCAACTTGACCAATAATTTTTAAGTAGATTATTTAGCAGCATTTTTTTGTTAAGCATATCTGTATGAGCTTAACAGGTAAAGTTAACAGTTTTTTATTCTTCCTTAAGAATGTTTTCACCCAAGTTGTTATTGGATATAGAGCTCCTTTCTAACAGCATCATTTATGATCATGTAGATCTGCTGCAGAGATGCCATCTAGCTTTAGCGAGGATGAAACTGCTGAAACCAGTTCCTCAATGGATTAAGTTTTGTTGATAGATGTGAAAAGTGTGCAGGATTTCTCTAAGCCATTGTCTATGTATAGTAAAAAGGGGGCGAACCGAGCAGTGGTAAAGCTGCTCCTTTGTGAGTAAAAGGTCACGGGTTCGAATCCAAGAAACAGGATAAGACTGCGTACAAGGATTGTCCTCATCCCACACTCGCTAGTCGAGTTTAATTGGAGAGTGGTTTTTTATTGTCTATGTATAGTCTAAAAAGGCATACATTTTCCCAGTAACATGGGAAGCACTGTTTCTAGCTCATATGTATGTCATTTGTCTTATTGGTTTAGTTATGGCAGTGCTTTTGGCATCCAAATTTGGTCCAATTTGATGCTTGCTTGGAAGAGTCAACTATTTCTACCTTGTGCTTTAGCAATTAAGAATAATTAATCCCATTGGTTTTGTATTGATTACCCCACATTTATGCTTCTTGAGTAGTAAGTGGATTTTGATTTATTGGTCTAATAGTGTACACTGCCCCACACTTTAATAGTAGGTTGAAGGCGAAATACTTAACAATAATATTAGTCTTGCGATTGAAACCCTATTTTCTGTCTCTGTCCCCAAACTTGCAAGCTTTCTTAGGATAGAGTTTAATTCATTATTGGCTAGTGTTTCACAATTAGCTATAATAACTTAATGTAACAAGTTTAATAATAGCTTTTCTTCCTTACTAAAACTTGATTTGTTGCACATCTTCTTGTCGTGTTACTTGGGTAAATATGTGCAATCATTCATCATTGAAGTCACAATATCTTTGGAACGTTTTAGTTATAGTATAGAATCAAATATGATTTCATTTCGAATGATTTTTTTTTTTTGCAAAACCTATCTTAAATATTTTATATCCTCCCCCTCCCTCCTTTCTTCCTTCCTAATTATCTAAAGATTAAATGAAATTCTGGACAAGCAGGCCCACTTGCCTGTGCCTTAATTTGAATAAAAGTTAACAATTTAATCTCAAGTTTTTTTTTTGAAAACAATTTAATCTCAAGTTGACCCTTGCATTTGAGAATTTGGTTCTGTTTTTTGGTCCAATTCATAAAAGGTATATGAAATTGAAATATGACCTACCGACCCATTATTATTAGGATAGCGGCCCAAGCGTATGAGGTGTTTTTCTCACTTCAACTGCTTGTGTGGTTGGTGCATCTTGAAATCTCCCTCAATTTCCATCTAGAATTAATATGATACAGAGTTCAATTTTTATGCTAATTGAAACTTCTAGAACCAAGGGCCAATGTTAATTATTATGTAAATTTCTCAAATTCGAGTGTTGTTTAGTGTATCTTTGTGTAAGTTGATTCTTACCTTTATGATTTTCTTTTCATCTACTTGGCTAGCAAAGTGCTGAATTATGGATGCTTGAAGTAGCAATAAAATGAGAAGAGGATGATCCAATTAATAGGCGAGGAGTTGGATACGTAAGATGAATTTAAGGAGGGTTTTCTCTTTTCAGCAATCTTAATTCTTAACGAAGAAACTTAAGCTTTCATTGGGGTTCATACATAACAAGTTCCGCGTAGGGTATTGAACTTTGTGGTCTAATTTCTTGTGCTCTTAAATTCAGCAGATAAAATTTTGTTCAACCTCTCTTAAACGTTAGATTGTTAGATAATTTTAAGGGGACATATCTGATACGATAAAGGCAAAAAAAATAAATGAGTTGGATAAGAGTAGAAAATGATAAGAGTTTGATAGGCTCATATCCTATTTTATGTTTGATGTGCATTGGACAAACAATATGATGTGATTGTATTATCCCATCTTATATTTGGAATGGATCATATAGTGTCAGGATATGATATAAATAGAGAAAAATATCCTCTATAAAAAATTATATATTTATTTTTAAAATTGATTTCTAAACTATTTTTTCTTTTCACTTATTTATACATTAGTTATTATTTTAATTTTTAAAAAAAATTTAAAAACATAATTTTAAATAAAATATATTCAAAAACATAAAATTATTACCAAATTATAATCCATATATTAATACTACAAGCAAATAATTATATATAAAAAAAACCAAATATAACATGTAAAACAATGAAGGAACAGTAAGGAGATGTTAGAGTTATACAATTATCCTCTTGCATATGATCAAATAGGTGGTGTGTAAGGGTGTAAATGGGCTAGGCTGGCCCAGCCCGGCCTACATTGAGCCCAGCCCAGGTCCGGCCTTTCAGAAAAGTAGAGTAAGCTTATAATTTTTTTTTTAATAAATAGGCCATAGGCCAATTTTGTCAAGCCCGACCTACAACCTTGTAGGCTGGCTATTTAATTTATTAAAATAAAATAATAAAATAATATTTATTTTATGTGGCAAATACACAAAGTACCAAATTCCAATATCTCTTAACTTTTTGTGCTATTTTATTTTATGAAAGGAAAACTTGTCTAATGTCTCCAAATTTTACATGCTGTTGCAGCTTAATACCATGGAGCAATAGGTACCTTGCTGGATTATGATGTTACTGATGAAGATCTTTCAATAATACTCTTCTTTCCCTTGTCTTGATGGTGGTTTAAAATTTTTTAGATGAATGACATTCTCTTGTAGACTTTATTTCAGCATCCAGTAATTGTATTTTTCTTATTTTTCCCATTTCTTTGACTCTATTCCTCTATGATATACATTCTAGAGCTGAGGTATTATGTTGACTCTTTCTTGTTTGTCATTTTTTTTCTTATGAGAAGTACTAGTGCATGCATGAATGGAACTTTCTTTGCTCTATACAATTATTTTTTTTGCTTAGTATATATAGTGGGAGGCCTACAAGGCCTGTAGGTCATGTCAGACTTTCTTATTTTTGAAAATGGGCCGAACTTGACCTACAAATAAAACCTTTAATAAGCCAGTAGGCCAAATAGGCTGAATTTTTTTTTGACGTAGACTTGAACCAGGATGGCCAAAGCCCAGCCTATTTATACCCTTAGGGATGTGCATAACATTACTTGCCATTAAATCGTCAAAATTAGGAGTAGAGTATGATGTTCTCATTGATCCAACAGAAAAAAATAGATCGAATAGTTTGTATAGTTGCACTTTGTGATTACCATCTTCGCAGTTTGTGCAAAAAGCAAGATTAATGGCTAATGGCATCGGTATGTTTGGTATGATATATAAAGCTTGATAGTATAAATTAATACGGTACGTTATGACATTTTTAATTATTTGGTGTGACTATCGTATAGTATAAGGGCATGTTTGGTGTGACGTACAAAGCCTGATAGTATAAGCTTATACTATACGTTATGCCATTTTCAGTTGTTTGGTGTGACCATCGTATAATATAAGCTTATACAACAGAATCCTTTAATACATCAAAATGATGTATAACTTAATCTGGCCTAAGGTGGTGGGATTAGGCCTGATAAGGGATTAGTGTATTAACATCGTTAACTAGTGCAATTCTCAAAAATTAATATATTATTTTAATATTAATATATTAAAATAAAAATTAATTTTTCAATATATTACATTTTAAAATATTGAATATTTTTATTTTTATAAAATTCATTTATTTTTTGGACACACTGATCAATAGATTTTTATAAAAATTAATATCATATGACATTTTTTGAAGAATTATATAAATTCTTTATTAAAAAATATATTTATTAAAAAAATTTATTTTTATCCCATATAGTATTTTTTTTTTGATAACATCCCATATAGTATTTTACAGTGCATTACTGAATATTAGATAATAGTATCTTATATAATATATTATTTTATACAATACCATACCAAACGCTGGATAGTATTAAAATTAAATCAGGTCTTATACAATCAGGCCTTATACTATTAGGTCTTATACTACCAGGTCTTATCCTATACTATACACCAAACATGCCCTAAGCTTATATAGCAGAGTCCCTTAATAATCAAAATAATATATAACTTAATCAAATCTAAAAGGGTGAGATTAAGCCTGATAAATGGTTAATGTATTAACATCACTAACTGATGTAATTTTCAAGAATTAATATATTATTTTAATATTAATATATTAAAATAAAAAATAAATTTTCAATATATTAATTTTTAAAATATTGAAGATTTTTATTTTCATAAAAATTAATATATTTTTTGGATACACTAATCAATAGATTTTTATAAAAATTAATATCATATGACAAATTTGGAAGAACTATTTAAATTCTTTATTAAAGGGTATTTTTATTAAAAATATTAATTTTTATCTTATTTAGTATTATATAGTGCTTTATCAAATATTGAATCATATTATCTTATACAATGTATTATCTTACACAATATCATACTAAATACTGGACAGTATTAAAATATAATAATCTTATACTATCAGATCTTATACTATCATATCTTATTCTATACTATATTTTGTGATTACCATCTTCGCAGTTTGTGCAAAGAGAAAGATTAATGGGCTCCAAGCCAATGGCATTAAGCCCACTCAAAATCCAAGCATGCTTGCTACTGCTAAAGTACGTTGCTTCCCGTTATTGAATTTATTGGAATTGCATTATGGAAAATTTTGACACAAGCCAAAAACAACAATTCACTGTATTCAGAACAAAAATAATGGACAGTGATGGTAGCAGCGAACGTGCTTCTTGTGTGTCATGCTAATACATAATTTTATTTTTTTATTTTTTTTGGAAATAATCATTTTTTTTTTGAAATAATGCTAATACATACTCTGGTATCAAGAGTTCACTGACGATGATGGTAGCCAATGGTGATGACTGGCCGATGGGTTGACGACAGTGGCTGAACTGTGATAGGGATATGTCTCGGGTGTTCAAAGATATTCCCAAAAGGCATAGGGTTTTTGTGGAAAAAAATTTCTTTATCATATCTTGTTTGATTCTAACCCATCTCCCCTCTCAAGGGTGGTTACGAGGTTCAGAGTAGGATAATATGGGTCAATAGAATAATTTATCATATCTTATTACCTCACTAAATAACAAGTAAGAACATGATATGATATTATATTCTATCATATTCTTCTTCTTTTGTTCACCAAACGAATCCTTAATGTGTAAAAAAAATGTTTAAAAAATGTGTGGTAAAAAATAAGGGTACTTAAAATATTATGTTGTTGTCGGATTGTTTTTAAAGGGCAGCATTTTGGGAAATTTTATAAATTATTTTCTTGTGTTCGTGTGACTATAAATTACTAACTATATATTATTTTTTATTACAAGGTGTTTTATATGCTTTTTATTCACATTCACAGCTACAAAAATCTTGCTTCAAACTTTATATTGTAAAAAAGGTATTAATTAAGCTACATATTTTGATATTATATGAAGCAGATCCTCCATAGGGAACTGGGGATTATCAAACACCATACTATGAATCTGAGTTGTGAACAAAATCACGCCAAAAGATAGTTAGTTTCCCTTTAATAATTGTAA